ATGTCTCTTACCCTCACGAAACACTGTACCATATTTGCGGACGTATTACATTAAACAGTAATACGACTGTAACATACTACTGTCCCTGAAAGCTCATTTTGCCAATTAGGAATCTGTAGTCTGGTATTGTTTAAACAATTCCGTCAAAGTTGTTTTTTGGAACTGAAAAAATATTTTCAGATTCTTTAAAACATTAAAAAAAAGAGAACCAATAAGGTTGTGTACACCTCAGCCCACAGTTTTCAAGTGAAAAAATTCCCAAAGTCTGAAAAAGTGCATATTCTTTTATTTTTAGAGCACTAGCAAAGTATGAAAATAAAACATTATTACAAAGCACACTACGTTCACATTAACAGTTAACTATTTTCTACAATCTTTGTAACTTAAGTGGTAAGATTATCTTTTGCAGTAAATGTTAATGGTGGTTCATCAAATGCGCTGTTGTGCGTGTATGCCTGTATAATTTTTTTCCCTTGCCACTGAACAACGAATTGTAAGCACGTATACATAGGTATACACTCACACCAAAACTTGCTTTGAAATACTCTGAACGTTAATGCAAAAAACAATTTTTCCACTAAACTTTTCGACATTGATTTTTTGAGATTGTAAAGAAAGATTGATAGTGAATGTTTATTATAACTTATGAATATGTGTTTTTTTAGCACTTAAATGGAGCTTTGTATCTAAAAAATGCCTTTTTAAGACTTTGGGAATTTTTCACTCGAAAATTGTGGAGTTTAAGTGTATACTTAAAACTGTTTATAAAAAAATTGTTGAAACAATTCCTACCACATACGTGGGTGGCAAAATGGAATTTCAGGTACAGTAACTTATTTTAAACAAGAAAGGACTAAAATCAGATGCGAATAATTCTTCCGAGTTCATTACTGATTTAGCCTGGTCTATTAAGAAAAGACTACTTAAATAGAGGGGAGATGAAGAAAATTCTGCGGAGGAGTGAGAAGGAACTGAGAGGGATTGGGGAAAGCTTGCTTTAATATTGTTGGATCAAAAATCACGTAAAAATATGTGAAAAACATAAACAAAAATTTATTCGCACAAACCCAAGATTAATTACTACTTGTGAAGTAATCAAAAGTGATAACTTAGTTATCGTAGCCACAGTATTACTATATACATTTATAGTTGACAATTTTTCTTACAATATTATCCTGCAAAAACTCACTTATCTACTCACCAACGAAAGAGAAATCATGAGTGCCTAACACTCATTCAGCTTCTAAATACTTTTTTGTTTCACTGTAACTTTTATTTTTAATAGAAAATTCAATAAATAATTATAAACTGGAAAGACTAGGTTGCAAAATATCACTATGTTGCACTGTACTACGTATTATACCCACAAAAAGACATATAGCATTGTCAAACGCTTTTTTTATCCTGCGAAAAAAATTTCATATGCGTTAGGAATAGTTTTCATGTCCACAGATTGTAATTTTCTCATTTTTGTGCATATTACCATCAGAATTCGAATTTTTTTTTTTTATCACTAACAATAGTGTATTATAAAACCAGTTGAGAGGGGGCACGTAGGTTTCCATCAAAATCATATTGCAGACAATATTGTTATGATTGCAAATTTACCTTCTATAAAACGATATTATGTAAAAAGGTAGCGTAGTTATCGTTGAAGGGCATACAACTACTTTAATTCGGTGTTGTTTTAATTAATATTTTTATTTTAAACAAACAAACGATTATAAACAATAAACAATGGTTTAATATAATATAAACAATATGTAGGCCGATCAGTACAAAACTGTGCACTTTTATCGGATCGTCTGAAAATTCCAAAACAACTTCCTACCACTTACGTTGATTACATTTTTAATGTCACGCTTACATCTGCCACATACGTGAACGCACCTATTCCTAGCCCATGTGTAATACACAAAATATATTTATATCTAAAAAATTCAGGAAAACCATCCTATTGTACCACTTTCTTTAATAGACTAGTGTTGCATGTCAGTGAACGTCCCTTCAGGACGTTTGTCACACAGATTTTTCTGAGAAGTATTATTCAAACATCCAATGTATATTTAAAATAGCATAAAAATTACGTACAAAAGTGGCCGCTTGCTTAGCTCTTCTTTTTTCTATGTACGTTTCCTTTTAGAACATTTTAGTTTTACATGTAGCACTATAAACGAACCACGTAAAATTTCCCTTACATGATATGTAGAGATCTCTTCATCTTTTTAAGTATAGAGGATTACTTCTGGATAAACCTGTTTAATTTTTAAGTGAATTTTCAAGCTTTCTTTTTAATAGCCCACGAAAAAAGGGGTAAAGTATGCGTAAGCGCGTGTATGTGAACGCATCCATTTAAAAAAAAATAATTACCAGCGTGACTGCATATATTTTTGTCACTGTTACTCTTTATTTCTTTCCTCCTTAACTTCTGCCCCGCTGACAATGATTAATGTCCTTAAGTGAAAAAATCACTTCAGTCACGAATGAAAAAATTGTGAGAGAGTAAAGCATAAAAAATTAATTAACGTACTCATAGAATACGAAAAAATGTTTGAAAAATGTTTGAAAAAATTGAAACAAAATCAAAAAATATACAAACATTAGTTTATTGTCAAAGTAACAAACAAATGGTAGATAAGTTAATATTTGTCAACACGTAGAAAAGTTGCTCTGCTGAATTATACTAATTTCTAATTAAAAAAATAATCATTTGACAAAAACATAAGCTTATTAAATAAATTATTTATTCATTCACGCAATTTAATCCTTAATAAAATCAATTAATAAAAAGTAATTAAAAATTTACATACATATAAGAGACGAGTTACACCATAACAGAAAGTTATTGAATTTATTTAATCAGAACCGTTTATAGGAGAGTGGGTGAGGGACTCTGTTTGGGTGCATAAGGTCTGAGTTTCGAATCAAATGCCTTTGTGAAATGTTTTTTTTTTATTTCATTGAAGAAAGAAAAAAAGTATTAAATAAAATGAAAAAGTTCATTGTGTTGTGGTAAAGTGGCACACCTATAGAAGTATAACGTAGAAAATTTAAAATTGAACATGAGCAAAATTAAGTATTTTATACATCAAGCAATAGAAAGCGGCAAAAGCGATACAGCATATGAAAGTGTTCTTAAAAAGTACCCTACTATATTTTAAGCAAACAATAAAAAACATTGAAAGAAAGGTGCTAATATATTTACAAGTGTACAGTTTATGACTCCTTTTAAGCTTATAGTATTTTGTAGCTGGCTATTTCTTTGTCGATGCATATTGTGATACAACCAATAGATCGTCGAGCCAGTCATCCATTGGGTTTTTGTAATGGGATCGTACAGAGCTAAAAAATGAGTAATACTGAAAAATACTACACAAAGAGCTTCTTCTTCCTTGAAACTAGATCAGAGAGCACCTTTTTTTACTTCTTGACTGTTGGAAGCATACTATCTTCACAGTGTGTGTATGCTGCTATTAACAACTGTCAGAACAGTGGAAATTTTTGAGCCGAAAGGCACCAGATTTAAACTGACCAGGTTTGATATGAACATAAACATGTTTATTTTGGCCAAATAATTGACCAGTGTATAATTTTTGCTTTATAACTTTAGTTTACCTTAGTTAAACTACCATTCAAGAAAATACGCAAACAAATTTTAGAGCATGCAGTTTTCAAAGTATTCATAAATGACAAGAATAATATGATTGCTTTTAAGACAAATATAATAAATAAACAACATTGTAATAAACAGATGCGGAAAAAATGAAATAGAAGAGAGACTGCTATGCATTAAAATTGACTACTAAAAAATAAATAGAACTGAGAATAAGAGCAAAAAGTTGCAGGAAGAAACAAAAAATTATGTTTGAAATGATTCGTCCAAAGAAAAATTTAATTTTACTATTTGAATAAAACAATTTTGTAAGTAATTGAAACATTGTAAACTCACTTCCTAAGCCGTTTAATATTATAAATTAATGGACGTATGCAAAAAAATGACATGCATATTATTGAAAACATACAAATATTATATTATTCGTAAGTAGGTACGTACGACCATGTTTCATAGTATAAAAATCGAAAAAAAGCTTATTGTACAATTAGTGGAACTTGTATCTCTCCCATATCCTAATGCGGAACTATAACGTAAGGTTATGTTTTATAAAAGGGTCTTGGACATATCAAAATTTCACTGAGTATATTTTTTTAGTATCAAAATTTCTTAAAAACTCATTTCAGTATGTATTGTATATAAGCATTTTTTTATTTAATATTTTTATATACGTAAAGTTAGCAGGATAAAGTATATTACTTACACTTATTATTCCACAGAACAACATATTGCATAGCATTTTTTTAGCACGACTTGAATAACGTAGCTAACAATTAATTAATTTTTCTTATACTTTTTCTGTATCTTTTTCACTATCATTCTTTTTCCTCTTTCTTTTTAATCACAACAATCAGCAGCACTATCAGTACTGAAGTTGTCGCAGTTGTAAAAATAATTTTCTATACAGAAATGTGTTCATACGAATAGGGAGAGAGACAGGGCTTAATAAATGTATCTTTTTTGTCATAAACAGTGATGATACATTTTTTTAACTACACTCATTTGTTACCGATGCTTGCGCTTACGAATATGTAATTGTTTTAAATAAGTCTGTTTGCTATTAAAAATTGCAAATCTTTATTGATTGACGTATTTGAAATCTTAAAGCTTATCCATATGATTAACTAAATAAGACGAAATTAATGTGAGAGGAAAAATTGGCACATAAAAGTAAATGTATGACTTTTTTAGTTTACATACATTTATACGTGGTACATTTATTTAAAAATTGAGAAGTGTTCTTAACCGCAACTTATTTATGTGTGTGTTGAAGTAGCATTAGTTTGAGCATTAAAATAGAAAATTATAAACCATGTACTCCTAATAAACTTCTACATAATAAAAGTAAAATGACTGTGACTACATTGATATACTAAAAAAAATGTACCTTGAGTGACGCCATATCCGATACGGACCGATGAGTTTGAATAGTTTCTAATTGATCTAGACACCAATCCAGCTCCTCTATGGTCTCAACTGCAAGTTTCATGTACGGTTCTTCTGAAAATATGCCAAACAAAGTGAGTTTTAGGCTATAAAGAGATATTTTGATATTGTGAATGGTTGTTGAAAGACTCTTAACAAATCACTAAAGTATTTATTTATCTGAAGCAACTATTACACTTCATCATTTAATGTACTTGTGTGCGACTCTCATAAGCTTAAGAAATTGTTATTAATCGAACAACTTTTTGTATAAATTATTTTTGAACTATCATTACACATTATACCAAGAGAATACAGTTCAAATACTTTGACCATCAGTATTGGCATATACTTCAAAGCACTCGAGTTGCCTGATTTAAGATATAGCTATGATATTCTTATTAAAAAGTCATTCTATATTCAATTTTAGAAGTCGTACTATAAACAATTCATTGTTTTTTAAGTTCAATTTTTTTGTTTGAAATAACTAGTAAGTGTCAAGATACAAGCTTCACGTTTAATTCAGTAAATGTACGATAGAAAGTTTTTTTTTTAAGAAATTTAAAAATCAATTAATATTAGTTACTTATAGATCCCGATATGGGAGTTTCTTAATAGTATGGGTGTTCCAGGTAATATAAAAACGTTAAAAAAATTGCAAGTTCCAAAAAAATGATTATACTTACAAAATGTATTTTCTCTTGACCTAGCAATACTTTTTTTCATCGTTTCGTAAATACTTTTAATACATTAAATGTATAATATAATCCTACAAAATCTACTTTTAACAAAAGTTAAAAGTTGAGCAAGTTAGACATGTTGTAAGATATTCATTACATGCATACTATTTATTTTAATGGATAGTGATTACCTCTCTCTGACTTTAAGATTATAAAATAATTTTAAAAATTTTAAGGTTTATATTTTATACTGATTATACTATACCTATACTTTTTCAAATAATCCTCGTTTCTGCAAAGAGTGATAATTAATGTAAACACAAAAAATAGTTTTTGTATAATTAGGTCGATAAGGTGAAATTGATCTTACAAGTTCAAATAAGTAGTCAAATTTCTCATCAATCTTATAGTTTTTATTTATATTATACAAATAATTATTTTCATGATATTATTTGAATTTGAACAGCTCACCTGCATTAGCATTTTAAGTCAAAAAATAATTTATGGATGTTTTATGTAGCTGCTAACTGGATCACGCTGCTTATATAAGGTACAATATTGTTTTACACTAACTGCCAAGAAACATAACATAAGGTGCATGAAAGGATGTAAGGTAGCTTGATTGTATATACTGACTTGGCTTCACCCGAGATTCACTGAGTGGAGCACCTTAGTCTACTGACATATAATACATCACTTTTTCAGTTTAAATCCTTACATTTACTTTAACACTTCCTGAAATAAAAAAACTGCTTATTAATAACATTTTTGTTTCAAATCTTTGAAGCCTTGGTGGAACAAAAAGCTGTAAATAAAAAAAAAAAAAAACATTTAACGTTATTGAACCAGCGGTCATTTACTATCACTAAATAATTTATTGATCTGTCCATTTTTACGTTGCTATTGTAATCACAATGAATGTTAGGAATCAGTTTTTTGACGCTTGAAGTTGTATATATTTGCATACAAATTGAAACTTTTAAGATTTTCCTTCTAGTTGGCTCTTTTATAACTCTCGACATGGATGAAAACTTTTGGGAGACCTTAGAGCTCCTTTTTCCTAACTTTATTGAGTGTTTAAATATTCATTCGCAAGGTAGCTCAAGGTTGGATTGCCCTAAAAAAAGTGCGCTAAACTTTGTTTTAACTAAAGTTTTCAGTAAACGAGACTGACTCAAAATCTCAAGGTGATTTTCACTGACCAGCGGTTACAGCATCAGACTAGTTGGGAGAAGAACCACAATTTTCTGAAGCATTAAACATAGTTGTAGTGCTCTTTCCTAATGTCTCCAGGTGTTATACCAGAGACGTTGGCATCCAAAGCACCGTCTTCATACAATGGAGCTAAGTTATTTTAGATATCCAAGGTGAAGATTTGGTCGGGCCGCTTGACTGTTAAAGACTGTCCCGGTGGCTCAAGTTTGTTTCTTCTTTTTAGCTTCACTATTAAATTCGCTGAACTCATATCTCGGAAGGGATCAGTAGAATCTACAGTTAAATTTTAGTCGAGAGGGTTGTGCAGGGTCGTTGTTAGTTGAGAACCCCAGCATGGTGGTGAAAAACTCTCCAGGTGACGTCTGCCCGAGAGTGAACATCTTAGTTTAAAAATGGCTGGCTTGATGGAGTCTGTTAGTAGGTGGATGCTTATGAGAATTCCCTTAAAAATTTTTTTCGAAAATTTGTGTAGGCGAGATTATTTAATGTTATATTGACCTCATAAGAACTAATGAAATTATGATGGTTCAGTAAACAGAAGAATTTCTAAGGGTCCTGCTCTTGACAAACTGCCAGTACGAGACTGTAGTAATTATAAAAAATTTCTTCAAAATTGGTCAAGTTATATTTCTGATTAGCGATTCCAACAGTTTTTAGGACTTTGCTTTATATATTAGTGAAACATAATTAATTTAAAATTTTCATGGAAAATGTTCTTGCTTATGCACAATTTTNGGAGCCTATATTTCATCATAGTCTCGAAGAGCTTACAGAGACAAGAAGTCATCGGCCTGAGGCTCTTGCCATCAGATTTAGGAATAAAGTGTACATAGAAGTGCTGCCAGCCATTGGGATAAGATCGATTAGAATACAATTCATTGAAAATGTCCAAAAGATTCCAACAGTTTTTAGGACTTTGCTTTATATATTAGTGAAACATAATTAATTTAAAATTTTCATGGAAAATGTTCTTGCTTATGCACAATTTTAAATGTATGCATTCTAATCAGAGCATTTTGTATTGTATGAAGATTGAAGATGTTGTACTTATTTTTTCTGATTTAACCATTTTAGTCAGCCAGGTCTACAGGTACAGGCTCGCGAATTTTCAGATTTTTTCTACTTCCCAAACAGAAACTCTCTGCTTGTAACGCTAAGGAATGTTATGGATCTTTTGAAAGCATTCGGTTGTCAACCCAAAAGCTGACAGATTAACAAACTGCCGTTACATATATTATATGTCACAATATCAATTTTTCAACGAATTTATGAGAAATGCTTATTCTGCTAAAAACCTGTAATACTATCCCGTAACAATACGAAACGCATTGTATTTTTGTGTAATGTTAGAGTATCAACTTGGATAGTGACTTGTACAGATAATTATAGTAGTAAGTACATAATGTTAATGAGAAAATGAATTCAAATTTCAACACAGTGCATCTTATCATAGTCATGATATAATTTTATAAAAGCCTGAAGCACTTTATCATTTTTAAAGAACAAAATAAGAATGCCAGTGTAAAATTTAGTTATTCTTCTATAAAATTATACGGCAAATCATATAATTACGAGTATCAAAACACTTTCTGTAAAACAATATTGTATACGATGGTTTTTTTTTTTTTTTTTATTTATTAGCTATTTCTGACTTCAAGGGAAGTCAATACAGCTACATTGGATTGTGGATACATTAAATGTTAAGATTACATTCATACAAAAATTTGCATAGAATGTCGCAAGCTTTAAGATTAGGTTTGATAATAAGACTGTACACCGTGTTGGGTAAATGAATGTTAATTTTAGCGAGATTTTTTATAAAATTTTTTCTGTGATTGTCATAGAGAGGACATTGGCAGACCACATGACTAATATTTTCAGGCGCTGATTTACATTTGCACAAAAGATCATTGATAAAACCTTTTCTTTGGAGAGATTCGGCTAAGTTGTAGTGATTTGCCCTAATTCTATTTATCGTTGTAATAAACTTACGTGGTAATTTTTTTTTCCAAAACCAAGGCTTAGAACAGTTAGTGAAAATATTTTCAAAATAGTACACACCTTTCTTAGTTCCTTGTTGTTTAATAACATTGTTTGTTTCGTTGAACATGTTGCTTTTGAAGCTTTCATAAAGATCAGTAAACGGGATACTGATTATATCCATAGTGGTTTTTAAAGTGGCTTGCTTAGCAAGACCGTCAACCTGCTCGTTTCTCCAAATTCCGACATGATATGGGATCCAACAAAATACCACCTCGTGAAGAGGATGATTAGTTAAATAACTAGCTAATTTTTCCTTGCGGGAATATACGTAAAAATTTGATTTGACCGATATACTTAGAGATTTAAGAGCCTGTAGAGCACCGAGAGAATCGGAGAAAATACAAGAGTTGACGATCTCGTAATTCACAATAATATCTATTGCCTCATTTAAAGCTACGCATTCCACCATGTACACTGATGCTTCTCCGTGAATACTTTTAATAACTGACAAGTTAAGGGAGGGGGAAAAGACTGCCGCACCTACAAAATTGTTCCCTTTTACCTTACTGCCATCCGTAAAAATACAACATGATTTATTTTCATTAAAAAATTTGGCAAATAGCGCCCCGGGATTAACAGATTCTCTTAATTTCTCACCTAATTCGATGTTAACTGTAGGAGAGAAAAAGGCAGTACGATAAAATACACAGTAAGAGTTGTACATTTGATTAGAAATTATGTCTTTTTCGAATTCGAGTATATTAATAATTACTTGGCTAACCATTCTCTGATTTTTAGGTTTCCGATGACAAATAATTTTGTGATAATATTTTACATTTCTATAAGTTTGAGTGGAAGCATTTGATAAAATTTTAGAAAGAAACGTGTTGCACAAGTATTTTGCCTTTTTAGTTATCAGTGAAACTTTGGATTCGGCATGGAGGATGTTAATTGGAGTACTGATTCTGTAACTAAGTGCTATTCTAATCGCAGAGCTTTGAATTTTTTTAATCAAGTATTGTGCTTTTAAATTCTTAGGAAAATGTACGAAAATTCCATAGTCAATAATGGACCTAATATAACTTTTGTACAAAATAGTTAGTGTTTCTGGGTCTGACCCCCACCATGTTCCACACAAAAGTTTTAATAAATTCAATGACTTTTTATATTTTTTGACTAATATATTAACATAAGGGG